CGAGCTCTCCTAGTGAGCTCACAGCACGCGCCTTGTCTGGCTCGCGGTCCCGACATCCCCCCCCCCCCCCCCCTCTCTTAAATCTGAGGTTTGGTGTGTACTTCGCTTAGGCGACGGCACTGCGGCGGGAGATCGCCGCGGCGGAGGCGAGGACGGCGGAGGCGGAGGCGGGGGCGGCGGAGGCGGAGGCGGGGGCGGCGGAGGCGGAGGCGGGGGCGGCGGTGGAGGCGAGGGCGGCGGCGGAGGCGAGGGCGGAGGAGGCGAGGGCGGCGGAGGCGAGGGCGGCGGAGGCGAGGGCGGAGGCGAGGGCGGAGGCGAGGGCGGAGGCGAGGGCGAGGGGGGCGGCAGCGGCTGCGCCGGAGGCGGCGGCTTCCGCCACAGCGGCGCAGGCGGCTGCGGAGCGCGCACTGGCGCTGGAACGGGAGCGGCGGAGGGTGGCAGAGGCGGCGCTGGGGCTGACGGCGGCGGCGGAGGCGGCAAGGAGAGCGGCGGCGGGAGGTGCGACAGCAGCGGGAGATATGGGGAGATGCGGGGAGATACGGGGAGATACGGCGGGAGGTGCGGCAACAGCGGCGGCGAGGGCGGCGGACGCGGAGGCGGAGGCGGAGGCGGCGGCGGGGATGGAGAAGGGGGTGGAGGCGGAGGTGGGGGTGGAGGCGGAGGTGGAGGTGGCGGCGGCAGCAGAGATGGCGGCGGCCGACCCGCTCGCCGCCTGCCGCCCGCCGCCGTCGGCGCTACCGCTACCCTCGCTGCCGCCGCCCTCGCTGCCGCCTCCCTCACCGCCGCCGTCCTCGCCGCTCGCCTCGATCCCTCCCAACCTTTCGCCGAGGCAGCGCCGCGCCGCCACCAAGCAGGCGAGCACACCCCGCGCGGAAGTCGCCGCTCCTGCCGACACTGCCGCTGCTGCCGACGCTGCTGCCGGCACGGAGACGCCGCGGCGGCGCGCCGCGCGCACGGCTCGCCGCGCCTTGCTCCAGCTGCTCGCGGACGATCGACAGGCGACAGCTGGGCGGAGAGGGGCGACATTTGGCGACACCTTCTCGGAACCTTCTGCGGTGAAGCGTCTCGCCGCCGTCTCTTTGTAGGCGTTGCGCAGCGAGGTGGCGCGGCTGCGGTCGGCGGCGCGTTTGCTCGACAAGTGATGTTCTTTGGCGGCGCAGGCTGACGCTTTCTTGGCGACCCACCGCGGCGGCAGCGAGCCTGAGCAAGCACTTTGCCGCATGGCGGTAGACCGGAAAAGGATGAGCTTCCGTCCTGTGGTTGGCAAGCCTTAGAGTAGTCTAAGGTTAGAGATGTGAGCCATATTGCGTCACCGCCGCCAGCACCACCTCCCTCCCCCGCCCCGGGGGGCAACTCGAGCGGTGTACTACCAAACCCGTGTGCATGCTTCGTTGCCGCGGCATCGTGACCATCGAGCTCGCGTTTAACTGCCTCCCGAGACGCCGCAGACACGGCACGCGCGTCCACACACTCTCCGTCTATATGTAGAGCAGACAGCGCCTGCTGGCCACCTCGAGACATTCGCAAAGAACGCTAGCTACATGGGAGGGATTCGTGAAGGATGGATTGAAAAACATTCGAACCGCAAAGAAGAGGCGACGGGAGGAACCGGCAGAGGATGCAGTGACGTGACACACACACACACACACACACACACACACACACACACACACACACACACACACACACACACACACACACACACACACACACACACACACACACACACACACACACACACACCGCTCACCCACGCGCACCGGGCCTTGCACTTTAAATGCCGTGGGGCTCCTGTCGTTAGACGTGGAGACGCGAGGTTCGCCCCCCCTTGCCCCACCACCTCGTGTGTGTGGAGAAGTCTACCTTACCTTACCTTACCTTAGAGGGTGTGGATGCTGAGTTGACGGAAATCGGAGGACGCGACCCACTCTTCGCCACAGACGGTCCCGCGCCTCGCCACCAGACGGCTACACAACACTACTGATCCTGGTCATTAGAGCTGCCAGGGATAGCGTCAGGAGCCGGTAGGAGTCAAAACCCCTCATATTTGAGACATCGTGGCCTATATACTCGTGCAACGAGCCGAGCGCGCGCGCGCGCGCGCGGCCGGGTCTTTGTGCGCTGCCCGCGGATCCGACTGCGCGCTGCCCGCGCTGCGCAGCGCTGAGGCAGCTGCTGCTGCTTTGGCACTGCTTGCCTGCCCGTCCTCCCACGACGGCCCGTCTGGGCTGGCTGCGGGCGGGCAGGCGGGCGGCAGCGCGGCCGCTGGAGGCGCGCGCGGCCTCGGCGCCGAGGGCAGCGAGGGCGCTTGCGAGAGCTCCGGCGGGGAGGGAGCGGCAGCAGCAGCAGCAGCGGCTTCCTCCCGCAGTGGCGCTGGTGCGAGCGCTGCTGCTGAGGGCAGCGAGGGGGCGGTGGCTGGCAGCGAGGGCTGCAGTGGCACACGCACCCCAGAGGCGGAGAGCGGCGCCTGCGAGGCGCAGGCCGCGGAGGCGGGTCAGGCTGCTCAGCAGCCCGACCCAGAGGGCGGCGCTGGGACGAGCGCTGCCATGGAGGTTGAGGAGGAGCAGGGCGGCTGCTCTTGCTCGTCGAATGGTCCGGAACGCGGCCGAGCCAGGCTGCTGGACGTGCCCCATATTGGGGGCCCGCCGGCATTACCCCGCCCGAGACGCCGGTCTCGGACGCTGCTGGCGCGCCCCACCCTTTCATTCTTTCAGATGAGGCCACGGGTTCTGAGGCGGGCGAGGCGGCTGCTGAGGCGTTGGCGCGTTGGCGGAGGCGGCGGTCGACGCCGTCTACGGGGCGCTCGTGGCGGCGACGCTCGAGGAGTGGGCTGGCGCGAGCACGGACAACCCCGTCTCCGTGGCGGACGCTCGAGGCCCAGGCCTCGAGTGTCAGCAGTGCTTTGGGAGCTTTTACGACGAGTTTGGCGTGGAGCCGTGGCTGTGGCGCCGGGCGATACGTGAGGGCTGGTCGGAGCTGGGCGGGGGCTGGTCGGGAGAGGAGATGGAGGCGGCGGAGAAGGAGATATGGCGCGGCGAGAGTTCTGAGATCTCTCAGCTAGGCGAGTGGGTCTGCGATGCTTGCCTGGAAGGCTTTTTGGGGGGTGGCTTCGGCGACTACTCGGAGCTGCGCAGCGGCTACGTTGCGCCGTATTCGAGTAACCCCTGGATAGGTCGCTCGCGCGACCTCTCCTGGATGCGCAAGGGGCCCAGGGGTCACGCGGAGGGAGGCGCTGTTGGCGGCGGAGGAGGTGGAGGAGGCCGCACGGGCGGCGGAGAAGGCGCAGGCGGCGGAGGGGGGGAAGGGCGGCGGCCGCGGGCGGCAGTCCCGCGAGGCACGCCGGCGGAAGGGTTCGTCTTCGCGGGGCGGGGTGCGCACTGCGCGCCGCGAGGATGAGGAGCCTGAGCCAGGGGAGGGAGGGTTGGGAAGGGGGGGCGAGGCCGGAGGAGTATGACGGCCTCTTCGACGGCCCATAAGGGGCCGTTGTCTGCTGTGCCTTTTGTGGTGCTAGTTCGTGCCAGTCTGCTAAAGAAAGAAAGAAAGAAAACACGCAACCCAAGGGAGGGATGGGAGGACGGCACGCCGCCACCACACAGGGATTTTAAGGAGAGGTGTGTGATGCGCTAGCCGTCGCCCATGGCCGTACGATCAGGTCGTCACTGAATGCTTGATACTAAGGCCGCGAGCTATGCCGGTGGTCAATTGTGCAGCAGGGCACGGTCAGCAGCGCCGACAGGCTGTCGCAAGGCGTGATAGCATGGCCGCAAGTACGGCGAATTCCTTGAAAACAAGTAAAAAATCGCGCAAAAAAGAAAAAAATTCCCGAAAAAATCGGCGCCTGCGGCGGGCCATGGGACCCCATCTCCCCCCCGCATGGATACCCTCTAGGGCCCCCGCCTCCCCCCAGAGACTCGAGTATAATGAATCTCCTTTCCGGAGAGAGAGATTTTTAGAAGCCAAAAAGAAATCTAGCTAACTAGCACACACAGTGACTTGGGCTCGGCAGCTTGTCAACTGCCGGAGCCTTCTTCTCTTCTCCAGTGTTGTAAAATTCTCCAGTGTCGTGCGAGGGTGTTTTGTTGTAAAATTCTCCTTTGACCTTTCCGCGTCTCGTTCATTGGCAACAGATCGCCTCGCAAGGTTCCATGCCTTCCGTGTGCAGTTTCGCCCATGGCGAAGACGCTTGTGTCGTTCCGTGACCACTGGCACGCCGGCGCTGCTGCTCAGGGGGCGTGTGGGCAATTGCACTCCCATCCATCGACGTGCGATTCGAGGACAACGGCGTCGTATTGCTGCGCAGCCCGCGGTAACACGACCTAGGGCTGGGGTGTGTACACACACACACACACACACACACACACACACTAGGGCTGGGTCGAGCCGCCTCCGTGGGGAATTCTTTTTGGCGGCTCCGGTGGTGAGCCTGTGTGTGTGCCAGTCCGCGCCAGTCTGCGCCCTTGTCGTGCCAGTGTGCTGTGAGAGAGGCTTGTATCTTAAGAATTCTTTTTGCTTTGTGTTATTATGCTGGCCTGCTTGGGCGCCAGCCTCGGCCTCGCCCCCGCCCATCTTCGCGGCCCGGCTGCGCGTCTCGCCTTGGGACGCGCGACCCGCGCCTTCAGCGGCCCGCGCCAGGCCGTGATTGAGGAGCGGCTCGCGAGCGCGTTTGCGCCGCTGCACGTCGTGGTCGAAAACACGTCGCATGGCGCGCGCAAAATGCTCTCTCCCACTGCCTCTGCCGCCCGCGCTGTCCGTGCGCCACCGCACACGCCGCCGCGTTGACGCGCGCGCACCCAGCGCCTCCCTCTCCTCCCGACTGATCCGCAGGCCGCAAGGAGGACGAGTCGCACTTCAAGGTTGTGGTCGTGTCGGAGGCGTTTGAGGGAAAGCGGCTGGTCGGGAGACACCGCGCGGTTAACGCCGCCGTCTGCGAGCCCGACGGCTCCCTCGGCTTCCACTCCCTGGAGATTGGTGCGCGCAGTAGCCTCCGACCTGCTTCGACCGCCCGCACACGACACCCGAGTGACGCGCACCTCGCCAAGGCTCAGCATCGAGCGCCCGCACACGCGCCTCTCGGCCGAGCGCCCTCCGAGCGCGCGCACGCCTCTCGCAGCGCGAGGCGCCGCGTCTCGCAGCGAGGCGCCCTCCTGCCTCACGCCCGCAGGTGCCGCAAAGACGCCCGCAGAGTGGGAGCTGGACAGCGCCGTGCCTCCGTCGCCAAAGTGCGCGGGCGGAGATGGCCGAGGCATGAGCCGGTGAGGCCGGACGCCGAGGCCGTACTCCCCGTGTTTTGCTTTGGTGGAGCCTGGCTCGTGCAGTGTTACTGGCTGGTGGGTCCATCCACCATCCTGCGTCAAGACTCAAGCGTCAAGTGTCATCCGATGTCACGTCCACAATCTACTGTCCGTGTTTGACCCCCGCAGCAGAGGCGTTCACTAGGGATCTAGGCTCCGACAGTCGACTGTCGTGTGAAATGTGTCGAACGAAAGAGAGAGTCCGTGGAGTGTGGAGAGAGAAGCGCAGACGGCTCTCCGGGACGCCCCGAGGGCGAGGCGCGTGCAGACGTGAAGAAGACGACACCGGACACGCCACACACGGCGCACAGCACGCGCGTCACACAACACGACATGTGCATGTGCATGTGCATGCACATGGACATGTAGACTGAATGCGCCCTCTCACTGCGCTCTACGGCTACTCACAACACCTCGCTGCACATACGACCTCTCAACTTCCCAACACCGGGAAACGGGGCTACGTCAGCGTTATACGGATCGGATCCGAGAGGAATCCATCCACACCATCACCGGTGCGCGACAGTATGGGCACTGGGGCATCTTAGCAGAGCAAGGGCCACACGCGCACTGGTGGCCGCACGGCACTGCGAGGTGGTTCTTCGGCCGCGTGAAGCACACTATGCACGTAGTCTCGCCGCCGAGAGACGACTCGGGCACTGCCGGTCGGCCCGTGTCGAAGCGTGCATCGGCCAGCGAGACGACTGCAACCGGCGGCGGCGTCTCCCTCATTGGCGTCTCCATCGGAGCAGGCTGGGCGTCGGAGGCCGCGGCGACTGCACCAGCCGGCGCGGCAAACGGCGCCTGCTCCTCAGCCGCCCGCGCCGCCTCGTCCGTCAGCCTCGTGCTCTCCTCGAGCGCCACAGCAAGCTCCACCTCCACAGCTGCCGTCGCCGCCGCCGCCGCCGCCTCCGCCGTAGACGCCTCCTCCGCCGGCGCCTGCAGCTCGCACTCCTGCGACGAAGGCCCCGCCTCGCCGCTGCTGCCCGCCTTCTTCTTCTTCTTTCTGGCCTTCTTGCTCTCCTGTGCAGCCTTCTCCGCCTCCTCCTCAGCCAGCAGCGCTCCGCAATGCCTCCGAGAGTGCTCCATGAGCACCTCGACACACTCCGTGTTGCCCAGCGCCTTGGCCTTATCGAGTGCTTTCCTGCCCTTCGCATCGGTCAAGTGCGGGTCGGCACCCTCGAGCAACAGTCGATCCATGACCATCGGATGGCCGTGGTAGGCCGCATTCATCAGAGCAGTGAAGCTGCACTCCCCCTCAGTGACCCTCATGTAGTTGACCTCCGCGCGGTGCCGCAGCAGCGTGTCGACTACGGACATGTGTCCGCCGCCGGCGGCGAGCACGAGTGGGGAATCTCCTACCCTGTAAGTGGGGTTGACCCTCGCACCATGCCGCAACAGCAATTCGACCACAGGTAGGTTGCCTTGGGAGGCGGCGTCCATCAACACAGTGGTGCCGTGGCTGCTCGACTCCACGTCAGCGCCGCCCTGCAGCAGCATGGCAGCCAGCCGCTGGTTGCAACCCATGGTGACGGCGGCAACTAATGCAGCGCTGCGCTGGATCAGCGTTGACGGCGCACCATGACGGCGGATCGCGCCGCGCTGGATCAGCAACTCGACCAACTGCTCGTGGCCAACTGTCTTAGCATAACTACAGGCGCACGTGAGCAGAGTGACCTCGTTCCCGTTGTTGTCGAAGGTCGCGGTGGCCTGCCCACCGCCATCGAGCCACGCCTTGAGCACTGCCAGCTCTCCCCCCCTGACCGCCGCCACAACCTCGTCAGGTGCCCTCTGGCAGTTCGGCAGGGGCGGCGGCGCGGAGGGCAGCGCGGCGGAGGGAGGGCGGACAGGCGGCAGCGGCGAGGTTGGCAGCTCGGAGGTGTCGGCGCTGGGCGCGGGCGGCGCCACCGCCGCCTCCACATCCACCGCCCGCACCTCCGCATCACTCGGTGGCGCGGGGAACGACTGTTGCGGGAGGCCGATCTGCGGCTGGTCGTTCGAGATCAGCGCGAACTGCAAGATGAGGATGACCTGGAGGGAGGAGAGGCCGGGTGGCGAGCGGGGTGCGGTGGCAGCGCGCGCCTGGAGGGGCGCGCCTTGCAGTTCTGCACGGTGTTCATGACGTGGTTGTCGATGCGAACGATGCTCAGCGCGCGGATCTGCGGGAGGCGAGAGGGGTGGGGGGGGGGACGGTGATCATGTAATGATGGGACGCTCCCGGCGCGCGTTCGGGGCTCACCCCAACTCCCTGAAGCATCGGGCTCAGCGTGGCGGAGAGCATCGCCTGCGCCAAAGCGAATCGCGGCACGGTCAATTGCGTGCAGCGCGTGCGCGGCTTCCGGCGGCGGCAACGCTGCGGAGCGGTAGCCGGTTCGGGTGAGGCTGGAGGCGGCGGGGCCAAGTGGCGCGCCTGCATGTAGTGCCGGCCGTCCGAGATGATGACGCGGTAGCGGTCCGCCTGTGTCGGCTTGATCTCGAGGATCTGCACGCGGTAGGGCTTGATCCCGGCCTGGCCGGCTGTCTGCCCGCTATGCATGAGCTCAATGCACCCCTCGTCGAGCATGGCGCGTGCGCTGAGCTCCTTGAGATGCTGCCTGATTGCCTCGACACATCGGACGTGCTTATTAGACGTGGCGCGACTCAGCGCCGTGAAGCCCATTCCGTCGCGAATGCCCATGTCAGCTCCGTTGCGCAGCAGGAATCGAACCATGTCGGGGCGGTCGTTCATGGCCGCTGCGATCAGTGCAGTTGACCCCCGCATATGGTTGACATCCGCCCGGTGCTCGGCTGCGCGGCATCAGGCTGCGAATCACGTCGAAGGCGGCCAGACCATCCTGATGAGAGCTGCAAGCTCTGGCAGTCTGCCAGCAGTCGGGCTGTTACTCCAGCACGGTGCCGACCCGAGTGTCGTCTCCACAGAGCCGCAACCCGGATATACGTCATGGAGAAGTTTGTTCGAGACCTCGGGAGCGGCCGGCTATTCACACCTCGGCAGTGTGGTTTGGGCCGTATACTGCCCTGGGAAGGGCTCTGCCCGCTTGCGAAGTGTATCGATGCAGCTCCGCCCACAGCTCCCACCATCAGCCGCTGGAGGTGCTCGCGCGCTTGCTGCAGGCAAACGCGGACCCGAACCAACCGACGAGGTTCGGTCGACTGGCAGATAACGAAAGCGTCGCGCCGCTCGTCGCAGCGGTGCGGGCCCGTGCGGCAGGCGCAGTCAAGCTGCTGCTCGAGCGCGTGCCGCAAACGCATTCGGATGCCGACCGCTCCATTATCATTGAGGCGATTCCTGCCGACAGCATGCCTTATCAGATGTCAAACCCCCAAACCCCAGAGGTGCTTGCCATGCTGAGATTGAAAGCAAGGCTGACGTGAACGAAATCCACCACGACGGCCAGCACGCGTTTACGCGCCCGCTGCACAGGCTGATCGACATCCTCTGGTATGAGATTCATGGGATGTCACATGGGCGTAACGGAAGACGCCACACATCGACGCCACTGCTGCAGAGCCCTCATATCTTGCTCGCAGCCGGCGCGAACCCGACGCTCGCGGATGGCCACGGGAAGCACGCAGCGCACAAGGCCATATCTGTTGCTGACGAGCAAGTCGTTGGCATCTTGGCGGCTCACGACAAGTTTCTGCCATTGCGCCTCTCTCAGGAGAGCGAGGATCAGCTTGCATTCTCCTTCCTCGCCGTAGCTGCTTTTCATGCCTACGTAACGATCAGGTTGGCTGGAATATTCTGCAACGGTTGCTGGATATGTTGCCCGCTGCCGGCGAGACTGTACAAGAGGGGGGGATTGCGACGCGCGAGGACTGCTTGGGCCAAGCACTGTGGACTTGGTGAGATCAAGTGACTACAGGAAGCGCAGGCCCGTGGAGATGCTCCTCAGCGCCGGCGCAACGTCGACTACGCGCTGGGCAATCAAGGGATGACACCACTCCTGCTTGCGGCGAGAGGTTTGGGGATGCGTGATCTGCCGATACTCCAAGCACTGCTCGCGGCTGGTGCCGACGTCAATTACGCTGATCATCATGGGCGCACTGCGCTGCTGTATGCAGTGTTGAAAGGGAAGGACGAGTACGTTATCCTCGCCAGCCAGCGCATGCCTATTGTGCAGGCGCTCCTCGAGGCTGGCGCGGACCTGCATGCCGCCCCAACGGACGAGCATTCTCACGAGACCGGTTCAACGCGGCGCATGAGCATCCGTGAGGTGGCGCGTGACGCTGCCAACTTTGGGTTCGACGAGTTTTACAGCCCGGACTATTACAAGAGGTGGTTGTAGGAGTTCCGCACGACGGAGCACTGGAACCGAGCTCGAGACGTTGCGCCGTATCACCAGCTCGCGTGGGGTCTGGCACTTTCCGAAGCGGGCTGGCCCGCGCAGACTTGGAGCCCATCCAATCACGACGCCTTCCCCCTCTTCTTCCGCGAGCAAGTGCAATGTGTCCTGCTCTGCCTCCGTCGCGCCTCGCCGCTCCCGAACGACCTGGTTGTTGCAGTGCTTCTGCCGGCGTTAGCCCATGCAACTCTTTGGGATGGTCACCGGTGGCGCAAGAAGACGAGTGCCGGAACGAGGCAATGGCGGTTGGGGTACTGTGACAAGATGGACCGGCTCAACCGCGAGCTCGGCCGTGCTTGCACTTTGAATGCCCTTACCGTACCTTACGTATGCGGACTACTGTCCCCCGCTCCCCCCTCCCTCTTGCCTCTACCGCTAGTACACTACTATTGCGCCGCGCTGCTTGCTATTGCTCTCCTCGAGCGCCACAGCACAAGCTCCACCTCCACCGCTGCCGTCGCCGCCGCCGCCGCCGCCTCCGCCGTGGACGCCTCCTCCGCCGGCGCCTGCAGCTCAGTCGTCAAACGCTAAGAGCAGCGGATGTGTGCCGAGGGGGGCGGGGAGGCGGTAAGTATATCGCCCGGGGCTGCTGCATCTCCGCGGCATGGAAAAAGAGGTTCCTCCCCCTCCCCATGCCCCAGGCGCGCGATACACACACTCACACAGTCACAGAAAGCATGTGCGATGTGCGTGAGTTTCCTCCGTGGAGATTTACAGATACAGTAGGGTACACGAAAATACATGATCTACGTTTCCCGCCGCCGGCCACAACCCATTGTCTGTATTCGACCAATGTCGCAGTGGCACACCGCGCGACACTCAGCCGCGCGCCAGGGAACATCTCTGTAGTGAAGCGTCCGAGAGCGACCCACGTGGATACCCGCGGACCTCTCCGCGGCGCCGCGCCCTCCGCCCTCAGATGCCCGTGCTCATGAGCTCCCGGTTGCTGGCAAACCGCTCTGGCGCCGCGCCGGGCCTCGCCCCTGCCGCCGCCGCCGTCCGGGCCGGCGCCCCCGGCCTGCGGCCGCGCGGGTCAGCACCCGGGGGCGTCGCGACGCCGAGAAACTGGTCGATCTGCCGCTGCTCGTGCGCCCGCCCCTTGTCGACGGAGCTCTCGGCGGGCTTGGAGACGCCTGGGTGGGTGAGTGGCGGTGGGTGGCCGTGGGTGTGCGGGGAGACTGGGGGGGGGGGGGGGTTGGAAAAGGGGGGGGAGTTGGAAGTAGAGCTCCGGGTGTGATGCGGGGGGCGAGGCCCGCTCTGTCGCACGTCATCCTCGGGGCCAGAGAGTCTGCAGTGTGTGTGTGTGTGTGTGTGTGTGTGTGTGTGTGTGTGTGTGTGTGTGTGTGTGTGTGTGTGTGTGTGTGTGTGTGTGTGTGTGTGTGTGTGTGTGTGTGTGTGTTGTACTGTTGCAGCAAGGGCCGTCGCGTGTCGCACCGAGGTTCAGCCGGCGCAGCCCGCCAGACTTGCCGGTACCAAGGCCCCCGGTGCGGTTGCGCTTCGCGGCGCGCTGCCGCTCCCGCTCCATCTTGACGCGCGCGGCGATGATCGGGTTGATAGTGAGCTCGGGGTCCTACGGGGTGCGTTTGGGAAGGGGGGGCGCTGTGGGGGGGGGGGGGGGGGGGCTCATCGGGTCTGCATCTCTCGGCTGCATCTTCGCTGCATCTTGACTGCATCTCTCGGCTGCGTCTCGGCTGCATCTCGGGTGCATGCACAATGTGTGAGTGCCCCTCGTGTGTCTCTCGGCCCTATCTCGGCTGTATCTTAGCTGTATCTCGGCCGCCGTATCTCGCGCCTCGTCCTCCATCGGCATCGCGTCCCGCGACATGTAGTCCTCCATGTTGACCTACCACAGGGGGCCTCCGCATGTGTGCCTCCCCCTTCCTCTCACACAGCCCAGCGCGTGGGCGCGTAGCGTCCCCCCCCCCCCCCCCCCTTCCCCCTACTTGGACACCTGCAGCTCGCGCCGCTTGCGCATCTCGACGCCCTGTCCCGTCACCACCTTGCGCACGGCGCGGCGGCGGCGCAGTACCACGGCGAGTAGGGCGAGCAGCGCCAGGAGAGCGATGCCGCCGATGGCTGCGCCGGCGACCGCCGCGCTGGTGGGGAAGAGAAAGGGGTGGCGGTGAGAGGCGGGTGGACGGCGGCAGTGGCCGGGGCAGAGGCCCAAGGAAGGCGGCGGCGGTTGTGGTGTGCGGCGGTGGTGCGATTGGTGAGACTCGCGGAGGGGGGGGGGGGAGGGGGGCGGGTTAGAGGGGGGTGGTAGGGCCAATGGGAAGCCGGACAGCGGGGCGGGGGGGGGGGGGGGGGGGGGGGGGATGACTGGGGGTCGGGGGGGTAAGTAGGAGGAGGTGGATGGGGGGAGGGCGGGGGGGGCCGGGGGGGGGGGGGGCAGATATCCCGGGGGCAGGGAAGTAATCTGCGTGTTACCGGCGCGGTTTATCGGCGGCAATTAAACTCGGGCGGCCGGCGGCGGCGAGCGTGGAGAGGAGACGAGGCGGCAAAAATTGTCTCGGAGGTACGTCTGCACCGCTTCCAGCTCCTGCGCCTCAAAGGCTCCGGCCGGCACGCTGGCGACCTGCAGGCAAGGCGATGGCAGCGTAGGCCAAGGGGTTCTCAGCAGGCTGGGGGCTGCGGCCGCGGCTGGCTGGCTGGCTGGCGTGTGGGAGGGTGAGGTGGCTGGGCAGATGAGCTGCCGCGCATGGCACACGCCTGCTGGAGGGTCGACAGGGTGGCTCCGGCGAAGCCCGCGGCGAGGACCTGGACGCCTTCCCGCTTGAGGGCATCGGCCGCGTCCTTGGGACTTGGAGAGAGGCCCGCCGACTGCTCTCCGTCGGCGATCAGCATCACCGCCCTTGGGACGTCTTGCCGGGCGGAGTTGAAGGCGTCGGTGCGTGCCATCGTGAGCGCGGCGCCGATGTTGGTCCCGCCCTGTGGATCGGAGATCTGATCTATCGCTGCAGAGAGCGTAGCCGCATCGCCCGTCAGCGGCACGCGTTCGATGGGCGGGTACGGGCTCTGCTGTGCAGTTGACGGTGAAGGAAACTGGATGACGCTCACGCGGACGGCAGACTCGGAGATTTCGAAGAGGCCCTTGAGAATCTGGACGAAGCTGCGGATGGCGGCGCCTCCCGGGCCGCACTTCTCGCCGCCAGAGCCCGCTGTGCACCCGCTTGTGCAAAGCGACGCGCTGCCGTAGAACGTCTTTTCGGCGAGGCAGTAAGTGTCGCTCGCGCTGCCACTCGTATCGATAAGGAGGACAAGCTCGAGCGGGACGTCGCACTTGACGTCCTGCCCGGCCACGCGGGCCACGAGGGCAGCGATAGCGAGCAAGAGCGACCTGATCGCCATTGATCTGATCGCCATTGCTGGGAGTGCCGCGACACGCTTGGAACTGTGATATCTTTTTTTCGCAACCGGCTCAGCCTTACTTCAGCTCGCTTATTCTTCCGTGCGGCTCCCTTTACAATAAAAGAAAGAAAGAAAACAGACAACCCAAGGGAGGGATGGGAGGACGGCACGCCGCCACCACACAGGGATTTTAAGGAGAGGTGTGTGGTGCGCTATCCGTCGCCCACCCTAGGGAGTCTGCCTCTTCCTATCTCTCTTCGCAGTCTCTCGCTGATTCTCGCTGCAATCTTCATGCCACCACGCGGTCGTCCCACCCTCGTCGTTCTCTCCCTTGTCACTTCCTCCTCTGTCGCGTTGTTCTCTTCTGCCCCGTCCTGCGACGCCGCCGCCTGCCGGTCCCTTGTTCTCGCGGCTTCTTTCGCCTGTCGGCGCAACTCCGTCCTCCTCGCGGCGTATCCTGGCCCCTCGAGTCTATCGAGCTCCCCTCGCGCAAGGACCACATTTCTGACTCCCACTCCGATCATTTGCCTACAGGTCATGTTGTTGCTCAGGTCCACTCTCTCTTCGAACACTCGTGCCTCTACGGATGATGCCGGCGCTGGGGTCCCCTTCGGATGCATCGTGACATCTGACAACTGGATTTCCACTGGTTCGTCCTCCTCGGAGTCATCTTCCCCGTCCTCCTTCCGCTCGGCTCTTCGCTCGGTACGTTCGGTGTGGCTCACCCTCCATGCCGTGAACACGTCGTGGGACGCATATGGAGGGAGCTGCAGGGACTCGTAGAGGACAGCGTCAGGCGACCAGAGGGACCCGCGAAAGCCCTTGGAGTACAACGGCGAGCCCGGCCCGGCGATAGCCGAAACGGTGCCAGCGAGCGAGCACACCTTCCGCCTCAGGACCGCCGGGTCGATCTCCTGCAGCTTGCGCTCGTTCTCCTTCAGCTTGCGCTCGTTCTTACGCCGCACGTGGGCTTCCCACACTTCCGCGCGCCGCAGCCGCTCCTGCTCGTACTCCACCTCCTTCTTCTCGGTCCACTCGTCCTCCGCCTCCTTCTTGTCCTTCGCCGCCTTCTTGGCTGCCTTCGCCGCGTCCTCCTTCTTCTTGTCCTTCGCCGCCTTCTTGGCTGCCTTCGCCGCCTTGTCCGCCGTCCTCGCCTGCTCCACAGCCTCCTCCCGGTCTGCCGCCACCTGGGCCGCTGCCGCCTTCTTCGCGGCCGCCTTTGCCGCCTTCTCCGCCGCCTTCTTCTCCTTCTTCTCCGCCGCCGCCATCCTGTCCGCCTCCGCCTTCTCCGCCTCCGCCTTCTTGACCGCCTCCGCCTTCTTGACCGCCTCCGCCTTCTTCTTCTTCTTCGCCGCATCCTTCCTCTCCTTCGTCGCCGATGCCTCTCTCTTCTTCTTCGCTGCCGCAGCCCCCGCTGCCATCCACTGCTCGTTCGAGTAGCAAAAGCGGCCCGTGGAGGGGTCGTAGCAGTGGTGATGGTATGACCACACGCACCACGCCCCGCCGCCCGTCTGGGAAGAGAGGCCGCCGCATGCCTTTGCCTCCGGCTGGGAGCCGACAGGGTCGTACATCTTCTTCGGGTTGTGCTTGATGCCGTTCTCGATCGTGTTGTAGAAGCCCCCGTAGGCTGCCGGCTGGGAGCCGACAGGGTCGTACATCTTCTTCGGGTTGTGCTTGATGCCGTTCTCGATCGTGTCGTAGAAGCCCCTGTCGAAGGCTACGTAGACGCCGTCGTAGCCCACGTCGCGCGCGAGAGAGCCCTCAAAGGCTACGAAGGCGCTGTCACAGCCTGTTGCCTGGAGCGCGATTAGGCTGGTGGTCAGGCCGGGTTGTGTCTTTCGTTTCTTTTCTTTTTCCTCTTCTCCCTTTTTTCTGGTTCTTTTATTTTTAGGGCGTCCCTCGGAGTGAGGTGTGTGTGCTGTGTGTGCTGTGTTTTTTTTTGAGTGTTTTGGGGGGGGGTTGTGTCTGGGTGTGTGTGTCTGTGTGACACCCTAAGCGGCCCCCGAGCTGGCCGAGCGTTAAGAAACTGCTCAGGCACAGACACGGTTGCCGCCTTGGGTGCTATGTAGTGCATCTCTATGACTATGTTACGCATCTATTATCTTTGTCACGCCTGGAGTGTGGAGGGGGGCGGCGTTTGCGGGAGAGCCTCGTTGTCGACGTCGATCTGCACGAGGACGGATCCGGCGGTGATCGAGCGGAAGACGGCGTTGGTGCCGTTTGCGAGCCGCGTCGGCGGCGTGGTCAGCGAGCTCAACTCTTCGAGGATGCCGCCCTCGATCTGCCTCTTGTACTCGGCGTCGAGGGAGCCAGAGAGTACGATTGAAAGCTCGACCCAGCTCGGCGGCGGCGGCGCCGGCGGCAGGGACGGGGAGGGGGGCGGCGACGAGGGTGGCGACGGCGGCGCCGGGGAGATGTTGGGCCAGACCGGTGGCGGAGAAGGCGGCGGCGGCGGCGAGGGCGGCGGCGGCGGCGGCGGCGAGGGCGGCGGCGGCGATGGGCTTGGTGGCGGCGACGGCGGGGTCGAGGGCGCAGGAGGGGACGGCGGGGGCGGAGGCACTGGCGGGGGCGGCGAGGGCGACGGTGGCGGTGGTGCGGGTGGCGGCGCTGCCGGCGGTGGCGAAGGGGAGGGCGGCGGCGGCGAGGGCGGCGGCGGCGGCGAGGGGGGCGGCGCTGGGGACGGGGGCGGCGTCGGGGAAGGGGGCGGCGGCGAGGGCGGCGCAGGGGGAGGGCTGGGCGGGTTGGGCGAGAGCTTTGGCCAGATCGGCGGCGGGGACGGTGGGGGCGGGGACGTCGGTGGGGGCGGCGGCGTTGGCGGGGGCGGCGGCGGCGGCGAGCGTGGCGAGGAGACGAGGCGGCAAAAGTTGTCTTGGAGGTACGTCTGCACCGCATCCAGCTCCTGCGCCTCAAAGGCACCCGCAGGCACGCTGGCGACCTGCCGGCAGGGCGATGGCAGCGTGGGCCGAGGGCTCACGGCAGGCTGGGGGCTGCGGCCGCGGCTGGCTGGCTGGCTGGTTGGCTGGGGCGGGCTGCATGGTGTGTGGGAGGGGTGAGGCGGCTGGGCAGATGAGCTGCCGCGCATGGCACACGCCTGCTGGAGGGTCGACAGGGTGGCTCCGGCGAAGCCCGCGGCGAGGACCTGGACGCCTTCCCGCTTGAGGGCATCGGCCGCGTCCTTGGGACTTGGAGAGAGGCCCGCCGACTGCTCTCCGTCGGCAATCAGCATCACCGCCTGTGGGACGTCTTGCCGGGCGGAGATGAAGGCGTCGGTGCGTGCCATCGTGAGCGCGGCGCCGATGTTGGTCCCGCCCTGTGGATCGGAGATCTGATCTATCGCTGCAGAGAGCGTAGCCGCATTGCCCGTCAGCGGCACGCGTTCGATGGGCGGGTACGGGCTCTGCTGTGCAGTTGACGGTGAAGGAAACTGGATGACGCTCACGCGGACGGCAGACTCGGAGATTTCGAAGAGGCCCTTGAGAATCTGGACGAAGTTGCGGATGGCGGCGCCTCCCGGGCCGCACTTCTCGCCGCCAGAGCCCGCTGTGCACCCGCTTGTGCAAAGCGACGCGCTGTCGTAGAACATCTTTTCGGTGAGGCAGTAAGTGTCGCTCGCGCTGCCACTCGTATCGATAAGGAGGACAAGCTCGAGCGGCACGTCGCACTTGACGTCCTGCCCGGCCACGCGGGCCACGAGGGCAGCGATAGCGAGCAAGAGCGACCTGATCGCCATTGCTCTGATCGCCATTGCTGGCGCTGCCGGGCGAAAAGCGGCGGGATGACGACACGCGGAAGTTTTTTTCTGCAACCGGCTCAGTCTTGCTTGAGGCCGGCAGCTCGCTTATACAAAGAAAGAAAGAAAAAACACCGCTGGCACGCTTTCTTCATTTCGCGACCCTGTGAGTGTGCGCCGGTGGTATGCACGCGCGGACTGCCGCCTTGCGAGCCGCCTTCGCTGGCTCGAGCCGAGGTGCCATATCTCGCGCCGGCCTGCATCCGCTCGTGGTTCCGCTCGCCGAGGCGGAAGGCGGCACGGTGCTCGGCTCGCTCAGCTGGCGGCTCGACGCGACCGGCGACCCGGGCGACGCTCCTGCCTCTGCCTCCGAGGCGACCCTTGTCGAGGTGCAGCGCGGCGGCCTCTTCGTGAGGCCGCTGGGCACGCCGGCGCACGTCGCACGGCGCGCCGCCGTCGAGGCGGACCTTGCCGGCGGCGACGGCGCCGCGGAGGCCGTCGGCTTCTTCTCTGCGGCCGCCGTGGAGGCGGGCGGGCTGCCGTACACGCGAGGCGCGCACGCCGAGAGCGGGCTCAGCCTCGACCAGTTCCTGCTGCTGCGGGTCGGCCCCTTTGCCGACTGCTGGGCGCGCCTCTCCGCAGACCGCGTCGCCAGGGGCGACACCACCGCCGGCCTGATTGCGGCGGAGCGAGGGTCGGCGCGAAACCCGGGGTGGGGCTGCTGCTTGCTGGCGCAGGCTAGGATGCTGTCGGAGCTCCGCCGGCTCGAGGAGGCGCGTGACGTGGCGCTGTCGGCGCTTGAGACGCCGTTCTGGACGTTCGGCGCGCCCGTCTCCGAGGCGAGAGGCGTAGCCGAGATGCGGCCGGCGCGCAGCCGAGGTGTGACAAAGGTGTGGCCGAGGTGTGGCCGAGACGCAGCCGAGATGCGGCCGAGGTGCAGCCGAGACGCAGCCGAGATGCGGCCGAGGTGCAGCCGAGGTGTGGCCGAAGTGTGGCCAAGGTGTGGCTGAGACGTGGCCGTTGCGCCCCCGCCGGCGACGGTCTCGGCACAGCTCTGGCTGAACAGCATCGGATCACCATCTCACGCCTCGGTGCCAGGCGCAGTCGCTCGCCCAGCTGTCGCGCGTCGAGGACGTCCGCGCGTTGCTGCGGCAGGCGAGATCGGCCGAGATCGGCCGAGATCACCCGAGAGCAGCTCGAGAGCAGCTCGAGAGCACCCGAAATTGCACGCAGAGGACGTGTGCGCGCTAGCGGCAGGCGGGTGCCTCCTCTGCCTCCTCTGCCTCCTCTGCCTCCTCTGCCTCCTCTGCCTCCTCTGCCTCCTCTGCCTCCTCTGCCTCCTCTGCCTCCTCTGCCTCCTCTGCCTCCTCTGCCTCCTCTGCCTCCTCTGCCTCCTCTGCCTCCTCTGCCTCCTCTGCCTCCTCTGCCTCCTCTGCCTCCGCTGCCTCCTCTCGGCCACCTCTCGGCCACCTCTCGGCCTCCTCTCGGCTACCTCTCGGCCACCTCTCGGCTACCTCTCGGCCACCTCTCGGCCACCTCTCGGCCACCTCTCGGCCACCTCTCGGCCACCCCTCGGCCACCTCTCGGCCACCTCTCGGCCACCTCTCGGCCACCTCTCGGCTACCTCTGCAGGTGCAAGCGCAGGGCGACGAGACGCGCGGCGTGAAGGTGGCGCCCGAGGAGGTGTGGCGGCGCGCGGCGCTCGACCTGATGGATGCCGTCGTCCTCCGCGGAGGCGAGTGGGGCGAGATCAGCGCCGATTTGGCAAAGGCACTGGAGCGGGCCGGGCTGCAGGAGCAGGCGGAGAGGGTGCGGGGTGGCGGCTGACTCGAGAGCGTGCGGCGGCGGGCCGCGAAGCGGGTGGGGGCGCCGCCCGCGTCTTTGGGCAATCACCTTTTCGTTGAAAAAGTACACACGCACCTCACACGCGATGCAGACGAAGCGTCTGGCGAGAGTGACAAACAGTGACATCGTCGTGTTGGAGTGTGCTTCGACACAGGAGACACTCGGCGCCGGTCGGCCGGCAAGGCAGACGACGGCACCGACACACGCGTAGCGTTGGACTGACAGAGTGGTCCGCTAGCCAGCCTGCTACAGGCGGTGCGGCTCCTCCCTCGCCTCTCTACGGGAAGGACTATCAAGGGCAAGGCACTTCGGCGTGCTCCTTGGCGGTCCACCCGCGTTGCAACCGCGGGACAGTGCGGTGTGTGCTGGCAACTCATGGGGCAGCAACGCCCCGCCGTCGGGGTCGCTGCGAGCCGTGGGACCGGCTAGTGGCCCGCGGATCGCGTCGGTCTGGGCACTGGACAAAGGGAGTATGTACGGTTTGGCGCTTGAGCAGCCTCAGAGCGCACATCAGGGTAGCACGGCTGGCCGCACGCCACCCGAGCCTGCCCTGAGCCGGCCCAGCCGCAGGTGGCTGCTGCTCATGCCCATCCCGCCCGCCGGGAGGCCGCGTACCTCCTGTTGTAAGGAGGCGATCTGGCGGCTGAGCGCCGACTCCACATTGCCCCGCATGAGAACCATGGTTGCATCGCCAGCCAGGAGCAGCAGCACGGTGCTCGCCGCCGCGGCCTTGACGATGGCGATCAGGCCCGGCATGATGGTGGCTGGGCGGCAGTCGAGCGCAGCGAGGACTCACAGTCGCCGACAGCCTTGTTGGATCGAATCTGCGATGCAGCGATGCCAGGCTGTTCCCTCAAAAATCGGCGTCTCACGTACATCTTTATTTTTATTATTTCTTCTTTTCGCCGCATTGCCCAAGAGCCACAGCCTCTTTCTACATGCATACATACAGCCTCGCCTAAAAACTCTCCTTTTTTACATTACTAACAGCTGGCCCACAACGCCCTCTATGTTTTGTGAGCTATATACCTCGTTTCGATTGTGCAAAGACGGATGTATTGATAGATATTTTTAGCAATACCAAACAACTCTAACTTGTTTTGTTGATGTATTGTGACGCGCATATTTCCAACGGGATCACACAGCTCGCACATACACATATAGCTCACCTTCACACATTCATCTGTCTATGCAGAACCGAGCAGCGAATCACATGAGCGAATCGATTTGATCTTGACGTTGCGCACCATAGTCCATAGACAGGACTATGTGCTGTCCATAGCAACGCCGGCTGGCCTGGCCACGCAGAGAGACCCCAGCCCAGACAGAGAAGCCTGGGCTCAGTTGTGGCGACGAGAGGTCAGGTGAGGACCTCTGACTCCGTGAGGACAGCAGAGTGAGGACCTTTTCGCGGAGCAGAGATAGAGCAGAGATAGAGGTCGATCTCGAAGTCGATCACGATCGATGGGAACGGGCGTCACGCGGCGTAGTGACCAGTGCATGCCGCCCAACAACATTCGACTGCCACAGGTCATATCCTCTCCCGGCCCATGAACTCCGTCGCGAGAGGCAACGGTGAGGACCTCTTGTAGGCTGTTTGAGGACCTCTATGTCAGCTCCATGTCCATGTCCATGTCCATGTCCATGTCCATGTCCATGTGGTAAGTGATGACCTCTTCTCCGAAAGATGGGCGTGACGCGGGAGCCTGAGTCGCAGTGTCGCTCGCAGCACGTGCTCGGCAGGTCATACTTCTTGAGACCAATGAGCTCGATCCGAAGAGGTAGGTCCTCCAATCGGGGAGGACTCACAGCTCTAGCGTGCCAGGCTGAGGACCTCCATGGTGGGTGAGGACCTCTCACTGGACTCATTGTCGTAGCTCTCGCTGTGGCTGTCTTTGGGAGCTTGCGACTCTCGCATCCTCGGCGGGCGTGCTCCATACAGAGCGAGAGGACACGGATATCCTTCGTGACTAGTCACGGGCCGTCGTGCAGCATGCACAGGGGGGCACGTCACACACAAGAATCTCATTTTCTCACACCAGTGCCAGTGCGCGCCAGTCCCGTGCCCAGTGTCGTGCGAAGGATTTTTGTTGTAAAATTCTCACACCCCGCCCGCAGTGTGCGCGTGCGCGCCGCCGCGCGAGCACACACTTACCCGACCGCGCGGCGCGACATCGGGGAGAACAGCGAGCAGGAGCTTACGGGTTGTGAATAATAGAATATTCTGCTACGTACGATGACATGCACAACACAGTATTGGGCGGCGGTTAGACGACTCCGCTTTGCGACGTATAGAGCCCAGCGTCTCGACAACTGCACACGTCAGCTCCATCGTCCGCAGCTGCAGCGTCACGCCGCCTTCACGCTCTTCTGCCTCCGCCGCACCTCCTTCTTTAGGCGTTTCTGGAATTTCTTCTGTCCCATGCGATACTGCAGGAAGAGCAGCACGCCGAGAATGACGAGCACCACCTCGAGCGGCAGGCGCGACGCGCTCCAGTGAGGCGACGGCGCAGCCTCCTCGCCCTCGCTCGCGGACGCGCAGGCGAGCAGTAACGGAATCAGCAGCGTGAGGCGCGACGGCAATCGGTGATACATTCTGGAGGCCAGCGGCGTTGGTGGCGCGGGCAGCGCTCGACGGCCCGATGACAGATGTCGTTGCGTTTCTTTTGTGTTTGTGCACTTGAGCACTTGAGCACTGGATAGGGTCGATTCCGCATGGTACGGGACCCCTCGATCGTCTCGCCCTCGTGTTTGTGAGCTAGTAAGGGCCCTTGTGTTTCAAGAATTCTTGCATCCCCGGCTTCTTCCTTTGCGTGACAGAGAACGGACGCAGTTGGACCCCACTTCTAGAGAGAGATTTTTAGAAGCTTCTCTTCACTTACTCTCTTCTCTTCACTTCTACGAGTAGACACTCTAGATGGAGTTGCGATTGCAGAAGTTCGCTCTCTCGCAGTCGCTCTAGTGACAGGTCTCGCTGTTGTAATAGACAAAAGAGCTTGGAGCTTAAGCAAACGAAACACAATTCAGGAGATGCGCATTTCTCGGCATCGCATCCCCGCCGGTGCAGCACGTCTCCCCCTCGGCCTCGAGGACGTCTCACAACACCAAATGCCACTCTACCAGGCCGTGCCAAGCCTGTGCATGTGCGTCACATGTCGCGCATATATGCTTACCTGGACAGAATGCGTGCTTGTGTACAAAAGTGCGCGGCGCGATGTGGCCTGGCCGCACAGCGCGCTTACGCGCCCGCGCCACCACAGCGGCCGTGACCATGCCCCCTCTCCTCCGATTCGACCCTCCGACCCTCCGCGCGGGGCGCCTAGGAACCGCCGCGTCCCTGCAGAGAGCGCCTGCGCGCACATCAGGCGGCCGGCGATGCGGGGTCGAGGCTGCCGGCCCAGCCATCGTCCGTCCAGTGCTTTGGCTCCTGCCAGCCGTTGAGCGGGCCGCGCGGGCCCGTGATGGGCGAGAGGGGCGCGATGTCGCCCCAGCCGGGGACGCGGCTGATGAAGCGGAGCATGGCGACAGCCTGCGCGAGCGGCTTGTAGTCGAGCGTCGTCGGCCGTGCCCTGCCGCTGCAGCAGCTGGTGTAGTAGATGAGCGCCATGGCGATGGTGCCGCCCACGTGGACCGCGGCCGGGTCGTCGGCGAGGGTGTGCTCCTATTCACGGCGGCCGCGGTGTGAAGAGACGCCGTCCGCCCCACCCCTGCGGCGTGCGCTCAGGGCGTGCACTCCCTCGCGCGTGCGTGCGCGTGTGCATGTGCATGTGCATGTGCGCATGTGTGTGTGTGTGTGTGTGTGTGTGTGTGTGTGTGTGTGTGTGTGTGTGTGTGTGTGTGTGTGCGTGTGTGCGTGCGTGCGTGCGTGCGTGCGTGCGTGCGTGCGTGCGTGCGTGCGTGCGTGCGTGTGTGTGTGTGTGTGCGTGCGTGCGTGCGTGTGGGTGTGCGTGTGTGCGTGTGTGTGTGTGGCACCTCGAGCGGCGACCGCCCCTTGAAGCGGGGGTTCGACAGCCGGAGCGAGCGCACGGTGCGCGCAAAGGCCGCGTGCTGGTTCGAGAGCGTCTCGCTGCCCCCGCGGGTGAGGAAGATGGGGCAGAGGGTGCGCATCGCGGCGGTGCTCGCGCCGCTCGTGTCGCCGTCCCAGCTGAGGAGGCGGGGGGGGTAACGGCGGCGGGGTAAAGGTGTGGGTGAGGAGGCGGCCGGGAGGTGTCTCGGAAGCGTCTCGGAAGCGTCTCGGAAGCGTCTAGGAGGCGTCTCGGGCCTCGGTCGGAAGGGTCTCGGAAGTGTCTCGGAAGTGTCTCGGAAGTGTCTCGGAAGTGTCTCGGAAGTGTCTCGGAAGGGTCTCGGAAGTGTCTCGGAAGGGTCTCGGAAGGGTCTCGGAAGGGTCTCGGAAGGGTCTCGGAAGGGCCTATCGCCTGCTCTCTCCGTCGTGGATTCCGCGCCCCACAAACGACACGAGGCCGTCTGGTCGCTCGCGCTGCGCCGCGGTGGCGTACGCGGACTGGAGGAAGGAGGTGATGAGGGGTGGGATGCAGTCGGCGCCGCCCCCGTACGAGAGGTAGCCGCCCTGCTGCGGGTTGTTGCCCGAAAAGGACTCGGAGTCGATCGCGTCGTCGGTGAGGCCGAGCCAGGGCGAGATGAGCACGATCGCCGCCGGCGGCTCTCCGCCGCGCCGGCCCTCTGCCGTGTCGGGCAGGCTGCCGCCGCACTCGGATCCAGGGCGGAGGCGCGTCGTCGCGTTGAGGGCCGCGGCGAGGCAGAGGTTGCCTCCGGCCGAGTCGCCGAGGAGGATGACGTTGTCCGGCCCGTAGACCTAAGGTTAGGTCAGGTCAGGTAACCACACACGCGAGGTGGCGGGGCAAGGGGGGGCGACCCTCGCGTCTCCACGTCTAACGACAGGAGCCCCACGGCATTGAAAAGTGCAAGTGTGTGTGTGTGTGTGTGTGTGTGTGTGTGTGTGTGTGTGTGTGTGTGTGTGTGTGTGTGTGTGTGTGTGTGTGTGTGTGTGTGTGTAGACCTGCATCAGCTTGACGTACACGGGCGCTACCACGTCGAGGGCGGTGGGGAAGGGCGTGCCGATCGGGTACTCTGGGATGAGGACCACCTGCTTTGAGATATAGCCGAGATGGGTCCGAGATGCAGCCGAGAGACAGCGCCGAGTTGGTGCTCGGGGAGGAGGAGGAGCGCGCCTGCGGTGTCGGTTCGGGTACCGTGGGGTAGGGGAGGGTGGGGTCAGGTACTGTGGGGTAGGGGAGGGTGGGTTCGGGTACCGTGGGGGGAGGAGGAGGGGTGCGCCTGCCCGGTCTGCTCGGCGAGGAAGAGGCCGATGAGGTACAGGTAGTTCTGCGCCGCGAGGGCCGCGTAGCCGCCGCCGTGCAGGTAGACGAGGACGCGGTTGCCGACCGGCGACCTGTTCACAGCCAGAGGTGTGAAGAGACGCTGTTCACACCGCAGGCGACGAGTTGCCGACCGGCGACCCTTCGTGCACGTTCGAGGCCAGCGGCCTGCCCCGGCTGTCTCGCGCGCCGTGCGGCGTCGGGAGCTCGGTAAAGGGGCGGCCGGTGAAGGCGCAGCGGCGGGGGTAGACCCAGAGGCCGCCCCAGCCCGAGGCGCCGTCGCACCACCACGACCCCGTCGGTTGCACCATCGAGCGGCTCGGCCTGCCGACGGCATCGGCGGCCGGCGTCCACTGCACGCTCGGCCAGATGCACGAGGAGTAGTAGGCGTTGAGGGCGCCAAAGGCGCACGGCACCGAGTTGGTGAGGTTGGCGAAGGCCTGTGCGACACCCCGCTGGCTGAGTGACCCATCTGTGTGTCAGTGTGTCGCTCCCGTATGACTGCCTCTCCTTCTCGCTCGCGTCCCACCCGTGGTAGTGTCCTTCACCTCTCCAACTAGCTAAGGCTAAGCAGGCCTCGAAGACCGAGGCGAAGCGGACTGGCTGCGCGCCTAGCTCGAGTGGGGAGACACCCCGACATCAGGCGCGGGAGCACAAGTACACGTGTTGGGCAGTGTTTTCAGAGCACCGCATGGACGAATGCTTTCCGAATGCGGCTGAATGTGTGGTCTCTCGAGTGCCAGCTGGAGTGCACGTGCCGCGTCTACGGCGCGCGCCGTCCCACGGTGCCAGCGGCATCGTCTCCTCCGAGCCCGCGCCGCAGAGGCGGACGCAGCAGTGGAGCGGGTGCACCGCCCCGGCACCGCTCTCGTACCTGGGCACGGGTGAGGGTGAGGGCTAGGGCTAGGGTGACAGCAAGGGCGAGGGCGGGGGCGGGGGCGAGGGCGGGGGCCGGGGCGAGGGCAAGGGCGAGGGCGAAGAATGGTGGGCGGGCGAGGAGGGTGCGGGAGGAGAGTCGGAGGAGGGGGGAGGAGAGTCGGAACAGGGAAGGAGCCTCGAATGCGAGGTGCATGTCCAGCGGCCGCAGAGCAACAGCTGCCTCGGCACGCGCGGCGCCTCGCTCTTGCGTCGCTGGCCGTAGATGGCCTACCATACCTCCAGAGTACCGAATCCGGTGTGGGTTCAGTCCCGTGGGGGTGTGGTAGGGAGCGCCTCGTCCGCGAGAGACACGCCCCGCGAGGAGGGCCTGTTCACAGCTCTTCATTCACAGCTCTTCATTCACAGCTCGAGGACCACGCCCCGCGACGAGGGCCGCGAGGTCGAGGAGCGCGGGTACTTCATGCCGCGCGGGAAGAGGACCTAGGTAAGGTAAGGCAACCCTCTCCACACGCGCAAGGTGGTGGAGCATTGGCTAGGCAGGTGCACGGGGTGTGTGCATGTGTGCGTACGTGTGCGTGTGTGTGCGTGTGCGTGTGTGTGTGTGTGTGTGTGTGTGTGTGTGTGTGTGTGTGTGTGTGTGTGTGTGTGTGGGTGGGTGTGTGAGGGAGAGCGTGGGTGGGTGGGCGGTGTGATGAGGACCTGCGCCGGCTCGGCGGCGGCGACGAGGAGGTGCTGCGTTTGGAAGAGGAGGGCGGAGCAGCGGTCGTCGGCGGGGGCGCAGCAGCAGGCGAACTCGAACGGGAACCCGCACTGCACCGCTGGCGTCGAGGAGCAGCACTGGAAGGGAACGGCGAAGCAGGGGTTGCAGGGCACCGAGGGGCCGCAGCCGGTAAACACGCCTCGAGAGGCGCCGGAGAACCAGTGGTATGTGGCGCAGCAGACGACGTTGTGGGTGCAGCACCAGAGCGGCGAGGGAGAGCACGCCAGCACGCATAAGTCGTTGCACAAGAACCGGGCTGGGCACGGTCCTCCCGGTCCGCAAGAGCCGGAGCCGCCGCAGTCGTCCTTTCCGGGAGCGAAGAACTGCGCGGTCGAGGGGACACGAGAGGTGCCATGGCCATTCTCACCGGCGAGGAGCTTCTGGTACGTCATCGGCATGACTGGCTCGGCGGGGCTCGGGACCGTGGCCTGCCCCGCTGTCAGTCGCGGCGGCTCGGAGCGGTTCATGCTCTCAGCCTGCGGCGCGCCGGTTGAATGCATGGCGGCGGTCGGTGCCGTGATGCTGGGTCGTCGGTGCGCTGGTCGCCAAGCGGATCTGGTGGTCTAGCCGATGCGCTTGAGGAACGCCGAGGGCAAGGGAAAACGAAAGCTGCGCTCAAGGTCGGACTTCAGCTGTTCTAATAAATAAACAAAGAGCTTTTACGCCCACTCAGGAGGTGTGGCAGCCCGCTGGCTGTGTGTCTTGTGAGCTTGTTTGTGTCTGTGTGTCGCTCGTGCGTGTCGTCATCATCTGTCTTGCGTCCACCCATACCGCGTTGGTGTCCAGTCCGAGCCTGACTGTTCTTCACCTTACTACATACATACATACAAGAGCTGGAGAAATACCAAATTCCAAATCGCAAACATAGAAACCCAAACACAGGCGGCAATAAAAACGGACACCTCTCTACTGATAGATGGGTAAAAAGGAACAGGTCCCCGCCCTTGCGATCTTTGTGCAGGGTTCTTTGTACTTCAGCTGGTTAGAAAAAATCTTTTCTGATTTTGCCGAGGCTTTTTTTCACGCCATCCGTAGAGGAGAGCAAGCGCACAGGCATCCAGGGCCAGAAGCACGGCAAGATACAAAACCCTTTCGAGGCAGCGTTGTGACGGCTCTCTTATGTGTGGCTACATGCCAACGGCAGCCATCATCTTGACTTTCGCCTCGCCCGTGAAGATGTCAAGCGGCAGGTAGGCCTCCATCGAAGCCTGCGGCTTGTCAACGACTTGGGCGATGCGCAAGTCGACGGCGACCGACGCGAGGATGAGGCCCTGGTTAAACGAGTAGTCAAGGACGTCGTGCAGGAACTTGATGCACTTGATCAGTGCGTTGCGCCCGCTCATCTGCGCAAGGGCCGTGGGAGTGCGTGAGACATGGAGAGGCGAAATGATATAGGTGCGGCGTTGTCGGAGGGAGTGGACATGGGAGAACCTCCAGGTTGTCAGCGACAAAGGTCATGTTGTTCATGACCTCCCCAAAGGTGATGTGCTGCTGGATCGGCCACGGGAAGTTGGCCTCGCCGGCAAAATCGGGGATGGGTTCCGGCTTGTCGCCGAAGCCGTGGAACGAGACGAACGGGGACGAGTGCAGCGGGTTGAGCGACGCGCCGAGAGTCGTCGGAGAGGGCAGATGATACATCGGGTCGTCCGGCTTGATGAGCTTGACCTTGACCTGCGGTGCGCGGCGGCATCAGGAGGCGCGCGATTGGTAGGGAGCGTATGTTTAGATTGGCAAAAAGAGATAGAGGCCGCGAGACGTGGCGGAACACACCTTGACGAGGGCCTCCATCTCGATGGCGGTGATCGAGACCTCGCCATCGCCCTGTGCGCCGTGCACATCACCGATGCCGATGCCGCAGCCGTCAACGAAACACTCGATGACGAGGGTGTTGCCAACGGTGATGCGCTGCGCGCGCACGCACGAGAGGGGTCGAGGCTGGGGCTAGAGGTGACGAGGCTAACAAGGTTGCATGGGCCAAGGCGCAAGCCTGCGAGTCTTCGTTCCCGTAATAGACATCGGGAGCGATGGTCCGCAGGCAGTTCTCGGGGTCGGACCCGCCCTCGCCGCACACGCTCGACGGAAAGGCCTAACACACAAACTTGGAGCTCTGCGCATGTGGGAGGTGGGTCTCGATGAAGATCGCGACTGTCGCTCCGAGGGGAAGTCGCCGGTCAGACCCATTGTGCCCGAGCCGGCAGCTTGCGCCGTGCCGCCCGCCTCGAGGACGGTGATCTCGCGCTCCTGCGGACAGTACAACATGCACCTTCTGATAGAGGAACTCGTGCGCGCGGGAGAGGGGGTGGAGTTTAGGCGTGCCTTCACGCGCTGTACGATCTCCATGTTGGGTAGCACGGTGACAATGCCGGGGAAGGGGTTGTACGGGATCTCGACGTCGGGAAACAGCTCGCTCACCCAGCAATCAGGCTTGGCCGGGTTGGGCCCCTTGGGCATCCACCAGTTGAAAGTGCCCGCCGTGACCATGTCGGACAGCATGCCAAGGTCGGGAGCGGCGTGGTTCCACCCCTGCGTCTTGGCTTCGATGTCGAGGATCGTGATGGCAATCTTGTCGCCCGCGACGGCACCTGCGATGCCGACTGGGCCCGCGAGCTGGTGCAGCGTGCGAATGTGCTTGGTGTTCCTTTCAAAGTCGAAGTTGCACGAGGTGCAGGAGGTGTTCTTGTAGTCGGAGGTGGCCTGTGGTCAGGGGATGGCCATCAGCTTCGAGTGGAGGCGGCCCCAACGGCGAAGCTGGCGATCAGATAGCGATGCGCGCCTGTGGCGTGTCGAACAGGATAACCTGGTCGGGCTCGGCCATCGCCGCCATCGGGATGGAGGGGTGAAGACGGTTGAAGCACTGGCTGCCTGAGGGGGTTGGAGGGGTGAAGGTTGAAGCACTGGCTGCGGGACGCGGCGTACTACAGATGTGAAGGCGCAGACGACAACCCGAGGCGCGGGCTGGGCTGCGCTCTTTGCACCGTCGCAATCCGTGGTGATTCCCTTGACCGTGACCATTGACTCCGGAGTGGACGAGAAGGCCACGGCTGCCGGGATGGCGAGGAGAGCGAGGCGACTCATGTGCATGGCTAGAGGGGTTCCCTAGCTACAATGGGATGCGAGTTAATGCGCAGTGGAGAGGCCTGAAAAGTGGGGACCTCTCTCCCCGCCCACCCGAGAAGCTCTGCCCAAGCTGTTGGTATAGAAGTCTAGAGGGCCTCAGGGGCTGTAGAGCCACACCTAGAAGAGGGGTTAGCTCACACTTTGTGGGCCGCACTGACCCTTCTCCCACGTGCCCTTGCCCGACCCTCTGACCGCCTCCCGAGACGCCCGACTTTGAGGGGCTGGTGAGAGCCCCCACCGTTGCGCCCTCACCTCACGCTGACATATCCTTTGGGAATGCCCATGGGCTCTAGGGACCTGGGGGCAGCTTTGCCCGCGGGCGCCATGCTGGGCTTTGGTAGCCATTCTGTCCGATTCTCCGGAGAGGCCGGAAAAGTGGCTAAGGCGGCCTCCGCTCAAGGATCGTTGGGATTTTCTGGTGACTCAGGAAGCTAAGGTCTGCGCCGAATAAAAATCGGTTCCGTGCTGCCCGCCCCCGGATACACCTGGCACAATTTATTAGAAGTTGAGCCGCGCACTTCCGGCCGAGAATAAAATCCCTCTGGTCTCTCAGCCCACTTGCCCATAGCCGCCGAGACGGCGCGCTCTGCTGACTCTCATCTAGCACCCTCTTGGGGCCTCTCCTGACCGCTGTGGGCCTCTCCAGACCTCCTCTTGCCTTTGGGAGTACCCCTCCCAGTCTACTTCCTAGGACACAGGCACAGGTTTGCATAATGCGAGCTTTTTCTCAAGGGCTATAGTGCAGAGAAGAACTGCGCATTAACTCGCATCGCATTGTAGCTGTTGTGACTATACAGTCGGTCGCGGGTGTTAAGAACTCAGAGCCCCGCTGCTGAGCCTCAGGTTCTTAGCCGGTTCCTCCGCTCCCGTACTGCCGAGGCTGAGGTTCTTAGCGACCGTACTTACTATGAGTAAGTACTTACTATGAGTAGGGGGCGGGGGTGACAGGGCGCGGAGCGCACGCGCATCACACCCGCCCGCACTCTCTCCCCTCGCCACCGTCGATGTTTCACCGTCACAGGAACCATCTCGCATTGACTGGGCCGAAACGTTAGCCGCCGGGTAATCTGGACGAGAAATTTGGCCGACCGGGTAATCTGACATGAGAAAAGTTAGCGGCCTCGTAAGCTGAAACGTGAATTGTGGGAGACTGGGTAAACTGATTTGTCAGTTTTTTGATGAAATTGCTGCTGAGCAGGAAAATATCGTTGCCGGGTAATCTGGACGAGAAATTTGGCCGACCGGGTAATCTGACATGAGAAATTTTAGCGACCGGGTAAGCTGAAATATGAATGTGTGAGACTGGGTAAACTGGTTTGACGGAAATTAATTGCGCAAAGCAGGAAACTATCGTTGGCCGGGTAATCTGGATGTTCCCCGGCGAATCTCAAGGGGTCACACCCGCGCGACCTCGATCTTTGTGCAGGGTTCTTTGTACTTCAGCTGGTTAGAAAAAATCTTTTCTGATTTTGCCGAGGTTTTTTTCACGTTTCTCACCCACTACAGTATCAGTACCTCCCGTCCCTCCCTTCCCTTGCATGGCCTGTTTTCTTTCTTTCTTTGTGTGTGGTGGTGTGTAGAGAGAGAGTCTGTGTGTGCCGCACAGTATACTGAGAGCTCGAGAGTGTCGGAGAGTGGTCACCCAGTCGGTGCCGGCGCGACGTACATGGACACGGACCACGCCCCCGTAAAAGCCATGCGCACATGCGAGAAGAGAGGCTTGCGGCGGGGGCCGGTGTCGGGTAATTGACAGAGCGGCTAGAGGCGGCCTGCAGGGGAGAAGCAAAGCAGAGGCGCAGAGGCGCGGAGGGGCAGAGGAGGAGAGCAGAGGCGAGGAGAGGAGAGAGAGGGGAGGAGAGAGAGGAGAGGAGAGGCGAGGAGAGGGGGTGGGGGGAGGGGGGGGGGGGGGGGAGCAAACTAAAGGCGGCTAGAAACTGGGAGGGACATGCTGCGCGAGAGCATTCGCCGCCGGCACGTGCTCGACCTACGACGGCATGAATTGATCAATGAGTTACGTCATTCGCCGGCACGTGCTCGACCTACGACCGCATTCAAAGCTCAACCAAAACAGCGCCGTTCACAGACAGAGCTCGCGATCGGCGGCCGGCAGCTGCGCGGACACACCTCGCTCGCACCCCTCTCTACTCTAGAGCAGTGCGTGTGGCTGTTTGCCGGCAGCTGCGACGCCATGTGCTGCGCTAGCACGTTGGCGACCTACGCGAAGGAAAACAACGGTGAAGAGCGCGGCGTGAAGGCGCGGCGCGCTGCGCACGAGGTCACGTCGGCGTCTGATCTCCCCAGATCTCCCCAGATCTCCCCAGATCTCCCCAGATCTCCCCAGATCTCCCCCCAGGGCTGCGGAGGCGCGTCTCTTCACGCACAGCTCCCCCAATCTCCCCAGATCTCCCCAGATCTCGCCTTCTCCTTCGGCCCGCACAATCTCCCCGGATCTCCCCGAATCTCCCCGGATCTCCCCAGATCTCACCTTCTCCTTCGGCCCGCACAGCTCGAGGATGCCCACGAACCAGCACATGCCCCAGTTGATGTATGCAAAGATTTGGGCAACCAGCCACGCGTCGTGCGAGCCGGCGGAGCTGCCGGCCTGCGTTGGAATACGCCAACATGGCGGCGGGAGCACGGCACTGTGCAGTGTATTCAGAGCACCGCGTGAGGACGAGGGGCTACGAGTACAGTGAACCCACCGGAATACGGCTGAGTACAGTTGAGTCCGTGTCCTCTGAGCGGAGCAGCACGTATTCCGCTTCTAGGGCTGCCCGCCATCGAGCCGCAGAAGAAGTAGAACATCGCGCGGCCGTACTTGCTGTCGAGGAAGCCGGCATTCGCGGTGATCAGCTTGGTGCCGTAGCCGAGCTGCATGGCGATCATCAGCCCTAGAGAAACAGACTTTTCAAACTCGGTGTCGAACCGGCAGCCCGACGCTCACTACAGTTAGTACCTCCAAATGCGGCGTACCAGATGGAGCTGATGATGATCATCCAGCCGATCGGCGTCACCCAGAGAAACGAGATGAAGCAGCCGACGAGCGAGAGGACGGCAAAGGTGATGAGGACTCCTCCGGACGCGAGCGCGCACAGCCGCTTGCCCTTGAGCAGGAGCTCCGCCCGTGCCATGGGCGGGGCGAGTCGCGCTGCGGCGGCGAGCGAGCGAGTGGTGGGAGCGAGAGCGGTGAGTGAGGCGTCATGTGCGAGCGAAAGGGTGGTGGGATCGAGAGCGGCGAGAGGGAGCGCTCCTGCCTGGGCTGGGTGGCCGGTATAGCGAGTGGTGGGATCGAGAGCGGTGAGTGGGGCGTCATGTGCGAGCGAAAGGGTGGTGGGAGCGAGAGCGGCGAAGGGAGCGCTCTGGCCTGGTGGCCGGGACCGGTAAGGAGAAAAGAATTTCACAACCGCTCTCGCACACGCACGATTCACACGAAAAGAATTTTTGAGTGTTCAACTGCAGGCTACGATGTTATGAAACAACGCAAGGTGGGCGACAGCTAGCGCACCACACCCCTCTCCTTAAAATCCCTGTGTTGTGGCGGCGTGCCGTCCTCCCATCCCCCCTTGGGTTGTCCGTTTTGCTTCTTTCTTTCTTTTTTTTGAAACAACGCAAGGCGGACATGGCATATCGCTCTCGGGCCCACAGACATCCCGCACACTCGCCGCACACCCGCCGCCCCCGCGCGCGCCCCACCCCAAAGATGAACTTAAGAACGGGGCACCGGAGGAGGAGGAGCCTTTGCACTGAAAAAGAAATCGCGCACAAGCAACTTCAGCTGGAGTCAGCCGCTGCCGCTCTTGTTCTGGCAAGCGAGCCCGCACCGCCGGCGGCAGCGCCGAGTTCTCTTGGGAGTCCCCGCAAATCGGTGCGGTCCGGCCAGCCTCACTAGCCGCCGTGCCGACATCAGCCACGCTTCTCGCGTCGACCCGGCCGCCTCGAAGCTCTGCCGATGGAGCCGCTGCTCTCGGCCGAGGAGCTCTCGGTCGGCTGGTGGTTCTTGATTCCGTTTGCCGGCGCCCTCCTTGCGCTCATCCTCACCGAGACGGGCGCATCCACTTCATGGTGCAGGCCGGGCTCGGCGACGAGGGCGCGGGTCGCGATCGCTGGCGTCGTCGGAGCGGTCAACGTGCATTGGCTCGCTGTTGAGCTGCTCGCAGAGACAGCCCAGTCAACGTCACGGACCTTGAGCCTCGTCTCCGGCGGCGCGATGGGGCTCGCTGCCATCATCGCCCTCTCGGCCCTCTGCCACGCCCACTGCCCGGCTTGGCGCATCGACAACGGTGTCATCGTCGGGCCGACCTTTGGGCAGGGCGCGTTTTGCGCGAGCGCGATCCTGCTTTCTCCCGTCGACACGGAGCTGGCTGCGCTCGTTGCGCTGCGCGAGGACCACCGCACTCCCGGCCCAGCCGCCGGTCGGACGGCGCACAAGCCTGCCGAGCGCTCTGTGCGCAGCGCCAACACACACAACTGCTCTCTCGATGCACCTTCTAGGAACTGTCTCGGATACTTCCCGTAGGCGCGCGCCGCCAGCGCCGAGAGCTCCTCGGCGCGGGCCGCTAGCGAGCGCAGCGGCCGCAGCGGCCGCGGCAGCGTCTGCGGCAGCGCTCACGCCTATCGAGAGAGCGCTTCGGCCGACAGCCGAGGGCGCGAGATGAGCCGAGATTCGCCTTAGCTAGCCGCCGAGAGGGCGCGAGATTAGCCGAGATGGGTCTTGCCGTCGAGAGGCCGCTCCCCCAGAGAAGCCAATGTGAGGTCCCCCCCCCCCCCCTGTC